GATCTGACCTTTCTTCAGGGAACAAATGCTCCGGACATCCTGTAAAACCTGGCTCCTTTTTTAAAGTCATCCCCAATCAGGCACCCAGCATCAGTATCCAAGCCTGGTCCCTTGCTCTTTCACACACTTGCATGCTAGTTGGCTTTGCAGCTGGGACGTGATTTTTTTTTTTTTCCTATTTCGCCCCCGCAAACAGGCAGTTAAGTCATCGGCTACTCATCCCCCTTCTCAGTTCCCCTTCTGAACCTCATCTCCTTTCCTTCCGCTGCCCCGCAGCCCACATGCCTCGGGCTTCATCCTGAGAGGCCGGCAGGCACCCTTGATATCTGACTAAATCTGTGACTAACTGGGGGTTGGCCTGACTTCTCCAGAGGACCATTGCATGTAGACTGGTGTGTGGCTCTCGCACTGGTGTGGCTAAGTGAGGAGCAGTGTCATGCTGTCAATGGCGATTGCAAAATATTTTTTTTTATGTGGTCAGGTCTAGGGGCTGTGAACGGTGAGTTAAGTTCCAGGTTTGTTGGAAATCTGGTGAGAGTGTGGCTAGAATTGAAATCTCTAGTTTGGCAGGCGCTGGCCTGTTCCATTCTGCCCGCAAATACAAGGGAGGTAGCTGGGGATTTGAAGTAGCTTTCATAACTTGGTGGAAAGGCATGGTGCTCCCCAAGCTACTTGCAGGTAAGCTGCCTTGTTCAGACATCCCTAGACTGTCCCTCTTGGCTCCCAGCCCAGAGGCCTCTCTCCCCTATCATCCTCAGCTGGTGGCCAGTGTCTACGTGTCTCCATATTGGTAGTATAACTAGAACACCCCAGTGAGTTAGGGCAAGAGGAACTGAAAATATGGAAAGTAAAGGGGGGGGGAAAAAAGGTGAATCTGCTGAATAGTTTTCTCCAACTAGCTCTGGTCAGGGAGAATGACCAGGAGCATTGGGGAAACCAGACGTCGCTGCTAGGGCTGAGTAGTTCCCGTGGCTGATCTCGGCAAATCTCTACTCTGATCAGAGTGGGGAAGTTTTCCTGCGTTTCGTGTAACGCATTTAAAATGGCCTGTATGCCCGAGAGGAGTTAGGGGCGAGAGGGGGAATTTTATCTGGAGGACTCAAAAAATAATGGAGGGTTTCGAAGTGGGGGCTGGGGTGGGGGGGATTTAAACATTGGTAATGTCCCTTCTGCAAATGCTGGTAAATGCTGTGCTTTCTGAAAAATGAGGATGTCAATGGAAATGCCACTCGACATGTTGTGGGCACTCTCTTCACTGAAATGCAGAGGAAGGGGATGTTAGCTGCAGTGCAGCCTGAACTGTGACGCTCGCTATCCACCACGTGTGTGTAGTGTCGTCTTCCACTTCCATTGAAACTCTAAAGCAGGTTAGAAAATTGTGTGTTCATTTCTCAGTAGAGAACTTAGACTGTCAGTCTTGGATTTTTTTTTTTTAAATAATCTTTTGGTTTTCAGCAGCTGAAACTTCCCCATGTGCTTGATTTCTGGATGAAAATTCACAGGAGCTTGCAGACTTTTCATGTTCGTTGTGTCTGCAAAGAAGCCTTCACTAGCCCCAACCACCGGCACCTGGCGCTCCTAGCAGAAACGGGGTGTGTGACAAGCACTGTGTCTCAGACCTAACTTCGGCTCAGTCGAGACCAGCAGGCTTGTCCACTCACCCTGCATACCCTTGGACTTGATCAAACTATATTAATTTTCCCACCAGCCTCCAGCAGCATCTCTCTCTCTCTCTTTTTTTTTTTTTTTATGATGCCCATCTCGAGCCAGGGAGGCCCTGGTTGATGCGACAGGGCACAGCTTTGTTTCTAACCTGTCCTTTGCTCTCCGCAGCTGTGGTGCTGCCTCTTCACCCTTGAGATTCTGCCTTGCTGCAGTATTGCTCTGACTTGCAAGAACCATCCTAATGTCTCACCCAAACTTCTCCTGCCTCACCTGCAAGCATTACTGCTTGTCCAGCCTCTTCAGAGACTGAATATTCCCATCTTTCATTTAGTTTTTTACCTTGACAGTATTTATAGACTCTGATCATGTCTGTGTGTCTCTGTCCTGCAGTCTCATCTCCTTCCTGGGGCGCGTGACAGTGTGAGTGCATAAATATTCCAGATCTCAGGCTTGCAGACTGGGCTCTCCTTGGCGGTGTGCTCTGTTATAAACGGGGCTTTCAGCTGTGAGCTTTGGTTCTGGATTTTTATCTGCTCTGTGTTGAGCAAATTAGGACTCCTTCCTTCTGGGAGTTGAACTATATTCCTCATTGGACGCATATGGGCATTGGTTTTTGTATTTTTTTTTTCCCCCCCCCTCAAACTGGAGGTTTAAAATTTTTTTTTTTCTTTTTGAATTTGTGTCAAGTCACTTCTTCCAAGGGGCAAACTCCCCAGGCACAGGTTGGAAGGGAGGAGGGGGAGAGGAATCCTAGTGAGATCCTTCAGTGTGGCTAAGATCTAATAGTGCAAAACCCACGAAGGCCAGGTCATTTACAAATAAATCAAGCTCTCGAGTATTAATCCTACAGGGCTTTATCTAGGTTTCCCATAAAATGGGAATCTCCAATATCAGCTCGTTCCAAGAGGCTTGAGGTAGGACAGTTCTGAGGGGGTTGGCAAATGGGATTACCCCAAATGCAAAGAAACCTGCATTGTGCAAGGGGCTGCTATGGAGAAGGAAGGTTTGTGTCTGGGAAGGCTTGATTTCTAGTTGGCCTGTGGAGTTGTACCTGTTGGGGGAAGGAAGAGGAAATGCTTGTTTGTTGAGATGAATTGCGTGTGTGGAAGGGGTCGTCTTCATTTCAGGGACTTCAGTCATATATTTTTATAAGGAAGGGGGAAACCCAGGCCCCATCAAGTCATATGGGCCAGTGCAGGATTGGCCCCTGTTGTATCTCGGCTCCCCAAGGAGGCTGCCTCTGCTCAAAATCCTTCTCTACGTGCCCAGCAAGGGGGTAGTGCAGGGCAGGTCTGTGCCCTTGAGTTCGCGGCTCGGAGAAGAATCCGTTTGCTTTCTTTTCAAATAGAAATTCTAAAAATGAAGCCCCATGGAAGCTGTAAGTGGCTCCCCTTGTCCCTGTCCTAGTGCTGCTCCCCAAATCGCCCCTGCCTTCAGAGGCTGGTGGGGGTGGGGAGATGACCTTGGCAATCCCTCCCTCTTGCCCTTGAGGTTCTGAACACCAGCAGTTCTTAAGCTGCCTTTCCCCCTGCACGCACGCCTGCACACCCCACGAGGTTGTATTCCCCTTTAAAAGTCCCAGCACATGCTAATATGCAGAGCTCCTGCAGGCTGTGTTGCGGCACTGGGGAACTCTGCTGAGCTGTGCAGTTTGAGCTGCCAGAGATCCCGAACAATGTCATTGTGTTCAGAAGGCACTGCAGCACTCAACTTTCACCAGCGAGCTCCTCGCTCTCCGGCGCACCAGCGTTTCCAGGGCACAAGGCAAGGAGCAAAGCAAGTAAGTGCTGCAGTCCCTCCATTAAACTCCTTCTTCCCTGAACCCTGGGATGTAGGTTTAGCTGATGCAGGGCTTAAGCTTTCCAATTCCTGTGGAAGTCGGGGCTTGTCTCTGTGGGCTCTGGGAATGGATGCATCGGGCATTGGCTTCAGCAGCAAATTTGTTCCTGCAAACTTCAATCCAGTGTCACCAGCCAACCCCAAAGGAATCCTAATTCTCTCCATCGTGACAGGTAAGACGAGTGCGCAGAAGGCAGTAATTTCGGTGCATCACCGTTTGAGTTTTCTCTCCCCAGGTGCACACAAGTGCTGTGGATGACACCTCTGCAAAAGTGTAAAGGCTTCCCTTCCACCCCAGTCCAATCCCTTACTACCAGTACAACCCATTGACGAGCCATCTGGTTAGCTGGGGCTGGTTCTGTGCGTCACACGTGCACGCCGGGAACTCGGGGGTGAAGCAGCCCTTGCTGCAGGAAGGGTTGGCGTCTGAATAAGTTAAGGTGATTCCTGCAGACACTGAACTTTGGAGGGGGGTTATCTGCTGCTGCCTGGAAACTCACTTAGGGATGCTGCATGCGGAATTGAATTTAAAAGGCGATGTCTTATGGATTGATTGGCTGGGCCAGGCTGTGCTCCGGTCACAGGTGTGTAACAAGGGTGTTACTTGGTGAAGTCGCTGCTCTGAGATCAGAATTTAGCCCTGCAGCTTTATTAAGAAAGAAAAGTTAAATTTAAACACCCACTGATCTGAATGGGAGGGAAATAGCTGCATTATGTGTAAGCAGAGGGGGAGGCTGCTGCAGTTCGGTCTCTGAAGGGCTCCCTATTAATAAGCTGCGTGCACAGCCAGCGCTTCCCCCTGAGGATGAATGAGGTATGGGGTGCTTGGCCCCAGGGATCCTCTCTCCTTAGCTTTCCTTCTCCCACTCCTTTTGCACCGGTAGTGAAGCCTGTGTTGGGGTGGGGGGGCTAGCACTGGAGGGCAGGAGGAAGGGATCCTACAGAACCTGACGGATCAGTTGTGTGTGTGTGTGTGTGTGCGCGCGCGTGCGTGTGTGTGTCGGTGTTCAGCTTGGGTCCCCTGCACTGTTGGGTCTGTGATGTCATTGCTGCAGTATGTCTCGCAGTTGCCAGTTTGCTTTTTCCAATCACTCAAGCCTCCGATGTGACTGCAAAGTTGTGGGTTCTGCTCCTTTGCCAGGAAGGATCCTGGCATTCCTCCTGCCACGGACTCCTTTACACCAAATGGATCAGATTCGATCCTGGTGCAACTCCACTGAAGGCTACGTGCTCCTGCTTGGTGCATGTCACTTCCATTGAAATCAGGTGTTGCCCCTGGAAGGAATTTGGCCCTCTGATTGTCTGTAGAGTGATGTATAGACTGTGCAGACAGGGGGTATCTGCCTCGTGGCCGGGGGAGGCTGGCTCTGGTACCTAGCTTTGATATGCTGCAGCTTGGCCTTTCCTCTAACCCGGCAGGCTCAGGAAGTGGCTTTACTTGGGCTTGTCTGGGCTTGTTCAGGCCTGGGCCAGCCTCCCTCAGTGATCAGAGGGATCAGGGTTGATCTAAAGAGAACTTGCCTGGGAGGTTTGCCGCTATGGTGCTGGCTGGGAGGCTCTGGAGAGCCCAGCAGCACAAATCGGACTCTTCTGATCCTTTCTTTCTCTTCAGGTAAACAACATTTATGCATGAACCTCTGGGGATGGGTGGGTGGGTGCCTGTATTTTTTGTGCATGTGCTGTCCTGCATAATGGGGGTATGCGCCTGCATGCAGCATGTACTGCCCTGCACTCGGGGAGTGTGTGCAGGGCTGCATGGAAATGGGCTGGCTAGTAGCCAGGCAAAGGTCGATAAGTCACCCAGGAAGGAGTTACAGTATCGCAGATCTAGCCTGTCTTTATGTCGGGGTAAGGATCTCCTTTGAGGGTCTATATCCACTCCCCTCCCCTTCTCCCCGCTTCGGATCCGCCAAAAAAGCACATGGGGGTGGGTGATGGAGAGCAGCCATCTTCGGAGGTGGTGAGGCTACCCTGTGGGAAGGCTGGCCAGCTCGAAAGCGGTCTCTTTTTTTTTTTTTTGCCCTTCTCTTTACAACAGGTCCAGTGTGATTTGATTGTAGCTGCAGTGGGGGTTGGGGCTGGGGAGGGGAACTTCCCTGCAGTTGTCGAAGCGGAGTAGGAGAGCAGCAGCTCCTCCGCAGTTAGTGCTCTTGCCCAGGGCTTCTGGGAGCTAAGGTTGCTAAGATTGTCCTGTGGTATTTGCCCCTGGGGTCCCGTCTGCTGCATTTACCTGGGTTAGTGGCATATGTGGAACCGTGCTCTGCCTCTTGCATACTATCCCACTGGCCTTCCAGCAACACACTCCCCTCTCTCCCTTCCTCCTTCCCTCCCGTCCCTGGGGTGTTACCTGCTCTGTGCGCTTGCCTCTGTGTGGGACCAGATCCATGGTAATCCCAGCTGCTGCCCTGAGCAAGTGTTGCTGGGCTGTCCCCTTTCTCTGAACCCCAGCACAGCAAAGCTAGTTGTGCTGTCCAGCAGCGGGGTACCCAGGCACCGTGCACTGGTTTGTTGGGAGGTTTCAGGTATCTCTGCAAAGCTTCCATGGTCTGGTCGGGTATCTGGGTAGCTATTATGTTATATAGGAGACGAGTGCACGGAAGGAAGGGTTTAGCTCAGATAAGGACTCAAAAAGCAGCGGAAGCCATTTCGGACTGCAGTAAGTGAGTCTCACTCCATTAAAGCTCTTTTCGGTATTATACCTGCTTATGCTAGCACTAGACCTGGTTTGATAGATGCCTTTCCTGCGCTTCCCTTCCCCTCTCAGAGATTTGCTTATTGGAACTGGCTACGTGGGTCTTTTCTCTGGTATAGAAGACATCCCCAAATTGCTGTCTGCTCACCCCCAAACCAGCCTGATTCATCTCCTTTCCAGAGGTCTATCAGGAGGAATTTTTTTTTTTTCCTTGCTGTTTCTAATGTCGTCTTGGATTTAAAATCCCTGCCTCTTAAGGCAAATGCCCACCCTGTCCTTTCATTGCACACACAAACTGGCTGATGCTGGTGGGCCCCTTTGAAGCGTTGTGCTGTGCGCCCTCATGGCTTTTTCCCAGGAGAGATCTACCATTATGGGGGTTTGTGACTGCAGGACTTGGGTGCTTGTGATTTCTTGCTGGGGAGGGTGTATGTGTGTGTTCACAAATAGGAAATAAGTGCGCTGGAGCATTTGTTTAGCAAAGGAAGGAAATGCTTATTAACACTCAATATATGACTGGTCTGCTAGCAGAAAGCATGCTATCATGGCTACATTCAGCGAAGGGCAACATTAGCAGTAGACCTCTGTGCTGTGTGGGAGATCCCAGATTCAGATTCTCCATGTGTGCCAAATGGTTTGTGCTTGCACAGATACTTAAGAGCTCTTTAGCTGATCTGCAAATGTTTAATTTTGGGCCTTGCCGGCTTTATTACCG